ATAAAATTGCTTGACATTGGCAATGAATATTTTACATAGCTCCAATTTATGATTTAGATTCTTATCGATATTATCAGTCTAACTGATTTAATAACTAGTGTTTAAGACATTTTTTATAATTCTTTTCTGCGTTTATTTATTTAAAAAATTGTGTGTTAACACCGCTAAAGAAAACTCTGTGAGTTGAGAAACGCAATCGGTCCTTTTTATCAAGCAACATAATAAATTAATTTCCAACATCTTTATTATATTAATTGCCTTTATTCTTATTTTATTGTTGTTACAAGCTAGATTAGTTTTACTTGTTTCTTATACGATTGCAAGTGTAATCAATTGCAAGATAAAATTATTAGAGCAAGTTAAATTACAAGAATTTTTATGAAATAGATGTCATAGATGTTAACGAAGACGACCCAGAACTAAGGTTAAGCTTATCCAGTTTTTCATCAGCTTTATTGTTTTTCAGATCCTATTGCGTATACAGGAAATTGTTCCATTCATCAATTCTTGGATGAGCTAGATGCTGTAATGAACAAAAAATTAAGTACAATATAGTATCAATTATTTAGTACGCAATTGTGCCAAATAAACAGTTAAGAAAAATTTTTAAGTATCATCATACGTACCTCGGCGACGTCATAGACCCATATTTTACCAGTATCATTTCCGATAAGTAACATGCCCACTTGGCGTCCATGATACTTTATTCAAAGCAGGACATCCGTCAACGCTGGCGGTAGGTACCTCCGTATCTTGATTCAGATTTCACAAATCTAATCTACCCAAATCGTCAACAGCCCTGGATGTTTTGTAGATCAAGCAACGTCATAAACATAGTCGTCATTATGTTCAAAAGATTAAAGCGGTTTGTTCTCTTTCAGGCTCCCAAGTTTGATAGTCCAGTCGAGGGAAGATGTCAGGAATAGATGGGAGAAGTCTATATCGCCTTGCACTGCATGTGCGTTAATACTAGTGACAGGTCTCGGATGACCTCATATATTTCTGTCAATCCAGCGCGGCTACCATGTCAACAGGCTATTCAACAAAATGTTAAAATGTTAGTAATTTTTACAAATTATTTTTCAACATTTTCACATACATGGACAACTGCACTTACCTAAGTAAACAGTAATTCCGTCCTCACTTCCCATGACGAAATTATTAACAGTGCGAGAAGGCCAAACACATAGCGGCGATTGCTTTAGATTACTTCGTGTGCAATTCCAATGCCTCTTGCGGTTGTGACAGCATGTCCATGAGCATAATTTGCCGTCTGTCGAAATGCTAATCAAATTGTGTACGATTTGTATTCCAACAACGTTCAAGCAGTATACTGGATGCTGCAAAATAAATGATTTCTTCGTTCTCGCATTCTAAACTTAGAAGCTAAAATCTTAATTAACTAATTACGCTATGTTAAAAAATGATAAGTCACTTACAGTATGTGCTGTAGCAGACAAGGGGTACGTTGTATGGGAGTCTTTTTTTGTACTCGGTTGTCCAATAACACGAATAACACGATTTGACCAAAGTAAGCCATGCCTGCTATATCCAGGATCAAGTTTGGATGGAATCTTGCAAAAGTAGTTGATATAACGGGTGACTGACAGTGAAGGATAAACTCTGGAGTTATTTTTTTAAATTTCGTGTTCCAGATGAAAAGATATACACCGTTAAGAACGTCGTCATTATTGTTGTACGAAGCCGATAAAAGCTCGGGGAACTGCGGTGACCAATTCATGGAGGTTACACAACAATTACAAGACCATCGCTCACAAATGAACAAGCGATTCAGCCATAGTCGTTGATGACTCTTCTCATTCCTGCAAATTCAAAATAATCATGTATATATAACAAAACGTATTTACTCAAGCAATTATACCCTAGAAACAAAAAAAATCTTTTAATATAATTAAATATGAAAATTTGGTCAAAGCGGATCTTAGTGCTTAAATAATTCTGTATGAATTTATATACATATGTGATTCTGTAAATTTCGCACCAAAATTTTTTTCCGTTTCAAACGCCATCATGAGTATAATCAGAGTAGTTTTAGCATTTCTATTAAATTGACAAGCAATTTAATAAAAGTGTTATTATACTATTTTGGTTTATTTTTATGCTAATAAACATCTTCATAAGGATATTAGAGTAATTAGATATTAATAAGGATTTTAAAATCTGCGAACAATTTATTACAAAATCTTTCAATTTGTTGTTTTCTACTTACATTCCATCTTCGTCGTCCATAGTGTCAATATAATCGGTGTAGGTATCAACCGATTCACTCAATTTCTACAATTCTCTTTTTACAATTTTGCTAGTATGATCGTTGAAAGTCTTCCGATAGGATAATTATTTGCTTCTCTTCTTCGCTAAGTTCCCATACTACAGAATTAATAAAACAAAATTTTTTATTAATAAACAGAAATGAAATGTAAAAGATCGATAATTTACGCACTTTCTTTTTTAGGATTCTCTTTCTCTTGCTCTACCTGTGTAAGTAGACTGTGAACCTCCTTAACTTGCAGTAATCCGTGAGAAAATATTCCTGCTGGAAGTTTACTCTGGAAACCGTCCATGTGCGGCAAGCTATTTTCTTCATCTTCGGCTTGGCCATCATCAAATGTCAAAACTGTGGTGAATAAGCTGGTTCCGCTACAAGTTAAATATAACTACCTAGTTATATACTACTGATCTACATATTTATTCAAAACTCGCTAATATTCTAATAAACCTATTAAATCTTTTAAAAGTACTGTATTTATATTTAAAAAGAAACTAATTATTTTTCGGCAAAAACATTAAAACACTTAAAGAATTAATAAAGATTTAATAATTAATATAATTAATAACTTTAAAGGATATATATTTATAGAGCAATAATTAATTTTTTTATTTTAAATTTATATTTATAAAAAAAATCAACACTATGCATTCTGTTGAAATCCTAACATTTTTGTATTTGTTTTTATATTTCAAATGTCGAGAGAGAGAGAGAGAGAGAGAGAAAGAGAGAGCGAGAGAGAGAGAGATGATAGGGAAGATTCGAACCAAAAAAATCATAGATATAGGGAAGATTCGAACCAAAAATCGTGGACATTGGCTACATAGTTCAATGTCCACGTTTTGTGGACATAGAGGCGCTTCAAAATAAAGTTGTAGCTAAATCCCGGGCATGGCCGCTCTCAGGCTTCTCTCTGATATTATTCAGTATATTTCCGGATGAAAACTTTTGACTAGCACTGTACTGGGACTACTAATGCTTGTTTCCACCAATGCAGATTAACTTTAATCTCGGTTTAACTTACTGTTCATCTTTTTCTAATTTTTAGAATTAGAAAAAGATGAAGAGCAAATTGAACCGAGATTAAAAGTTAATCTGCATTGGTGGAAATGGGCATAAGAGATACAGATGTTTTGTAGCTGAACTTCTCGACTCTCGTATTGTTGATCCTTTCTCTTTTTCTCTCTAACGTCTAATCATATTATCTATTTCATTTTAAGTGCAGAAAGTAATATAGTGCAGCTGTAAGGAACAGAATAAAATATTATAATGTCTCACTGTGTCAAATCATATCATGATTAGTAGTTTTCCATCTGTTAATGTATGGTTAAATGGAGTATACATATTTTGTGTAATCTAATAACTGATTTAACAAGAAATTATTTAGTTACAAAAAAATTAAGTCAAGAAACTATTAAAGAAAACTAAAATGACATCAATAAGATTTGCAATTTTAACTGGTAATATAACATATATTTGACTACGTGAAATATATCAAATATTTGTAGATTATATATTGATAAAAATTTAAAAGATTACAAAATATTTTAGTCATGCACACGTTTTAAAGTTATATATGATTATATATATTGTGTTTTCATATCTTTAACTGATAATCTTGTATAATATTATAGATTTTCATATAAAGAGAGAAGTATTTTTAATACATCTACATATATTTTGCATTTCTTGAATTCTAATCTTTTTACAATGTTTTAGTGAGTGATACTTGTGCTATTGGTGAGAAAATAGATGAAAGTGGACCTGGATTAAAAGCACTTGTCAGCAGTGCAGGAGATGTTTCTTGCACTGCTATTGTGCAAGATGATGAAACATTAATAATGGAACATTTAATTAAATGGAGTGATGAAAATAAAGCTGATGTTATTCTTACCACTGGTGGTACTGGATTTTCTGGGAGAGATGTTACACCTGAGGCAACTAAAAAAGTTATCCATAAAGAAGCTCCTGGACTGTCTTTAGCAATGCTTATGTCGAGTCTAAAAATAACTCCAATGGCGATACTTTCTCGGTAAAGTCACACACATTTCTTTCTTCTGTTATATCATAATATTTTTAAAGTTACAATTTTTAATATGTTTTCAGAGCTGTATGCGGAATACGACATAAGACACTGATTATTAATTTACCAGGTTCACGCAAGGCTGCAATAGAGTGCTTGACTGCAATCCTACCTGCAATTCCGCATGCCGTAGATTTAATTTTGGATAATAAAGCAAATGTTAAAGATACACATAACATTGTGCAATCCCAGTAAGCAATTTACTAGCAATTTGGCACCAAATTGGTATCAAACTCGTTCAAAGCTTGGTAGCAAATCCGGTGCCATCTGTATCAGCAATAAGCTTGTGTTTTGCAGGCAAAGTTTGCGTTACAAAACTAGGCAGCAAATTGGCACCAAATTGATAGCAAGCTTTGCGTAGCGCTGTTTGGCGATAAATTGGCATTAAATTGATAGCAAGTTTTGAGTAGCACTGTTTGACGACAAATTGACAGCAAATTGGCAACAAACTTTGCGTAGCGACAAATTCATAGCAAAAATCAAGCGAAATGTGATATTTTGCAATCATTTAAATAGTCTTTGATCTACACCTTAAGAGATCATTAATTATTGTGTGTATATATACTGGTGTAAAAATTAATTAATGCAGTTTTATTTTTGTTGCTAAAATATTATTGATTTGATTAGTTTCGCATTTCTAAATCCACATAAGGAAGTTATAAAATAGTCAAAAATTTTCAGAGATTTAGAAAACATCCCAAAAGAGCTTGAGAATCTTCAGATTTGCTTATTCGATTTGCATACATCAATCCTTATACAGACTCCTGAACGTTTTTTTCTTACAAGCAAGTCCATCTCGTGGCGTGGCCGTGTATGAAAGTGACTTGATTTTTGCTGTAAATTTGTCGTCGAATAACGCTACGCAAAGTTTGCTACCAATTTGTCGTCAAATAATGCTATGCAAAGTTACTACCAATTTGGTGCCAATTTGTCGTCAGACAGCACTATGCAAAGTTTGTCGCCAATTTGTTGCTAATTTATATGAATACATTTGCTCGCATTTTGCTACCAATTTACTGCCAAATTATGACATCAAATTTCGTTATATATTTGTTAGCGAATTGTCAACATTATTTGATATAGCAAATCTTGTTGCCAATTTTTATTCTTTCTGCTAACAAAGTTTACAACAAGATTCTACAAGATCTGTTTTCAGCAAATTTGGCTTATGTCTGGGACATAATATTACAACTTGCTCGCCTCGTACAAATCCAGTGAGAGTTTTTTAATCGAAAATAATAATTTTACACAAAATTGTATAATACAATTAGATTATATTCTAGATAATTTTCGAAAATGTGGCAACACGCCTTAGAGAATCTCCCTTTCCTATGATATCTGTGGCGGACGCACTGAGCATAATAAGCTTCGAGAGTACAAAGAATGTGAACGTGGAAATCGTGAATGTTAAAGATGCTTACGGTAGGATATTATCAGAAGAGGGCATTCGTTCTAATTGTGATTTGCCACCATTTAGAGCTTCCATAAAGGACGGATATGCGGTATTAGCAAATGATGGGAAAGGTAGAAGGACGGTATTGTGTGGTGTAAAAGCAGGAACTGCAGTAAGTCACAATAAGAAGAAAGAACTTTATTACCTTCAAGCATACAAAGCCTAAGAAGGGGGCTTGGTTTACAATTTATCAACTTATCCTCACATCCATCCATACCCTACTCTCGTGCATACATTACAATTTTCTCTCTTACCTATTTTCTACTTAATTTATCCATTTCGCCTAACAAATTGCACAAAATTACCTCTCTAATCATACTTATATATCTAACTCGTTACCTCTCTTTACAAATTCTATCCTATTCTATTCCTTATTCAATTTTATTCTATTCCTCGTAGCTACCCTTTCGCTTTTAAAATCCGTACATGAAGTCTATATTCATACCTGTTTCTAATCCTAATCATTCCGGCTCACTCTATCAATCAACTTATCTATGTATACCTTTTACTCACGCTTACTTTATAAATTTACTTCGCTTAACTACTTGCACAGAATTTCCTTACTAACCATCCTGTATATTCCAATCTCATTTACTTTGTCTTACATATCTATCCTTTTCAATTCTTGTTCCCTTCCTCGCAGCATTTCTACCTCTTTTAAATCTGTAACTCAAATCTATATTCAGAATAATTAACTCACTCCTAATCCTACTCCTCGCTCAATCAATCGACTAATCTAAACATACCTTTTACTCATTCTATTCCTCGCAACTTTTCTATTCTCTTTAAAATCCGTAACAAAAACTATATTCATACCTATATCTAAAACTAAATCTGCATTTCATATAATTCTGCCTTAAGCATTTTCTTATCCAGAAAGTCCTCGTGTATCCTTGTCTTCATCACGTCTTCATCTCCATTCTTTGTTCTTTATCCTCTTTGTACGAACCTTTTTACAATGTCCCATAACTTGCCTCTTATTTACTTGTACCTCTCCATCATCTTCTATTTTCCTGCCTCATGCCTTTTCTTCTCCATAAATTCTTCATGTTTCCTTACCTCCGTCTCGTCTTCCTCGCCTTTTCTTATTCTTAATTCTCAATTATCCGAACCTTTTTAAGAATGTCCCATAACTAGCCTCTTATTACTTATACCTCTCCACCGCCTTACATTACGAAACGGCCTGTGAACTTTCGTAACTTCTATTACCGTTTTCCTTTTTTTCTTTCGCTGAAAACCTTATTACAACGTTATTTTCCTGCGTTGCCGCCTCCTTATCTGAATCTCGTTTTCTGGCCCAATCCTTATAAATACACCTCCTTTTCCTCTAACTATTCTCTTCTCAGTAAGTCACAATAATAGACGCTCAATACGATGCAAAAGAAAATAATTAAAGAAAACTTTTTCAGTCTGCTTTGATGTCTCTTAAACCTGATACTTGTGTACGGGTGAATACAGGAGCGCCCATTCCTGATGGTAAATAGTTTATAACTGCAATATTTACTTATGATAAAAGATTTATATTTTCTGTCTAATTACAGAAGCAACAGCGGTTGTACAAGTTGAGGATACAAAGCTAGTGTTAAAGAGTTTTGATGGGGCAGAGGAAGAAGAAATTGAAATAATGGTTGAACCAAAAGAAGGACAAGATATTAGGTATGAGATTTGAAGATTTATTATCTATACAATCCTTGTAAAAGGTTTAAAATTGGAAATGCATTAATATTTATACTTACTAGATAAAAATAAGTACCACAACTATATACGTATATCAATATATATATATATATATATATATATGCGTATATATATATACGCATATTTACGTAGTTCATTTGTGCTTTACTTTATTATTTTTTGTTATAATACTTCTTTAAAAATGATAATAATTTTAACTTCAAGCACTTTAAATAATTAAGATTGTTTATGTAAAGTTTTATTGTGAGATTTACAGATTTAATATTCCGTAAATATAAAAAGAGTTTAATAAATTAAATTTTATTTATTTATAAAAGTAGTGTCTTACGACTAATTTGTGAATTATAATAAAATTGAAATTTTTATCATTTTTTTAAGAAAAAGTATACAACAATTACAAACAAAAATCAATTCAGTAAGTAAACTATAAAATGAGTTTTTAAATAAATAATAATGTTGTTTAAATAATTATTTCACATATATATAGTTTTAGTATTTAGTTTTATATGAAAAGTATAAATATTAATATATTTCTAATTACAAATTTTTGCAGAAATTATATCAGCTGTAATACGCCTTAAGGTTTTACATTTTATAAGTTTTGTCAAAATAGCTTTTATTTTATTCTTGATAAACATTTATTTGATTATTTATTTATATTATTGAAGATCTGTTGGTTGCGATATAAAAAAAGGAAGCTCAGTATTAAATCCGTTAACGAGAATTGGACCAGTGGAAATAGGAGTACTAGCGGCGTGTGGCTATAAATACGTTGCAGTTACTTTACTTCCACATATAGGTATATTATCTACTGGAGATGAGTTACAGGAACCTGGAGAACCTCTAAAACCAGGGCAGGTCTATGATAGTAACAGGATTAGTTTAATCTCATTATTAAAAGAAAATGGTTACAATTCTTTGGATTTCGGAATTGTGACTGATAAGTATGTCAATATTTTTTTATTTTTAGTACACATAATGATCCGTATTTATATCTCACTTTTATATAAAGGCGCACATTTATTTTTACATTCATTATAGATAAAAATAAGACGTAAATGCGGATCATTGTATTTTTTCATACCTTTTTAATTTATTAATATAGTCAATTATAAATAATTAACATAATCTCATTATTAATATAACCGTTTTGTAGCAAGATGGACATGATAACTAAAATCGGCACAGCTTTAGAAAAAGTAGATGTACTTGTGACGACAGGTTCTGTATCAATGGGTGATAGAGATCTATTGAAGCCTATTTTAGAGAACTATTTTAAGGCTGCTATACATTTCGGTACCTTCCTTTTTTAATCATCTCTACGTTAATACATGTTTCTCATATGAAATTAAAATATACTTTTTTTTTAGGTCGCGTAAATATGAAACCGGGAAAGCCAACGACATTTGCAACTTGTACATTCTTAGGTAAAAAAAAATATATCCTATGCCTGCCGGGAAATCCAGTGTCTGCTCTTGTTACTGCACATTTATTCCTCTTACCTCTTGTGAACAAGCTGCACTTCAATAATTCAGAGCCAATCATAATGCAAGCTAAAGTTTGTAAAATTGTTTTGATAGTTAGCAAAATAGTGCAAATATGCATCACACATAAAAACGTTGTTCTAATATTATAGTTAACGTCGTCGTACAATTTGGACCCGCGTCCCGAATACGCAAGAGCAATTTTAAAATGGAATAATAAAGAAACGCTTCCACTCGCTTACAGTACGGGAAATCAAATTAGTAGCAAATTACTTAACTGTAACGATGCTAATGCGCTTCTGATGCTACCAGGAAGAACTGCGGAGAAGCAGGTATTGAATGAGGGTGACGTTGTAACAGCGAGACTTATTAGTCTTAAATCTCTACATTAAAAAAAATTTGAATTAATTAGAAATATGCATTTAATGTACAAATTTGTGTAATGTTAACAGAACGTTATTTTTGAGATACTCTTTATAGCGTTTTCTTTTCTTCATAATAAACTTTTCATGAATATCATGTCTATTTGTATTATTAATTTTTATTATGCTACCAAGCTATTAAATTTTTATGAAAACTTTTATATATTTAGTGCACGATTTTAAATATTCAAATTTTCATTTCTGAGTAACAATATGTAAAATAAATAGATTCTTTTTAATGTGTAGAATATAGTATTTATTTACACTTCAGCTTTACAAAAATAGCCAAGAAGGGGACTTGGTTTACAATATTTCTTAGTAATGTGTAGAATATATAAATAAATTGTTCTTATGTCGAAGCTAAAATTCGCCAAGAATCATAGGTTACAATCTCTCGTGTCGATTATTTTTCTAATAGCTATGGAAGTATACCTTCTACAGAAGATGAACTTTTCGCCAAAGTATGCATGAGTTTAACTCTTGTCAACTTAACTCTTATTCGTATAGCGCGCGCATTTTGGACACGCACGTAGTATATGGGTCGCGATCAGATTGGCTGTACCATCTCCATCACTGTTCACACATGATTTGACATGATTACAGTCGCCGAGGAGAGTCTCTGCTATTAGCGCTAAGTGTGTCATTGGGCGAGTTCGAACAAATAAACATAATTGGTTATTACTTATAGATCCAACCAATCACATTCGATCGCTCGGCAAGCATATCTATCCGCTTTGCCATCTTAACCTTTTATAGTGACCGATTGTCTACACACTTCTTTTCTATTTACTATTCGGAGCCATAAATTAAAGAAGTATTTCTTTTATTACACTAGGCTTGTTCTTTTTGTCTGCACTGTCTAAACTGCTACACAGTGTAATAAGTGAAATGAAACAAACATATATCTGTTTCACTTCAACTTGTTACACTCTGTGCATCAGTAAAAAGAACAAGCCTACTAATTGTGAGTGCTACTAAAGCGGGGAGCACAGACTTTTGCATAACGCATAAACCATATACATAAAGAATTTGATTGGTCCATTGACTCATGCATAAGAAAATGGGCCAATCAAATTCCTTATGCACATGCTTTATGCGTTATGCAAAAGTGTGTGTTGGGGCTCTAAGCCGATATCGAATACTAATGTATAATCCATTTTTTTAGGCATAGTTGTGTAACTATCTCATTCTACGTAAGCTGCATGATGCCTGGTTTATGCTTCAGGTCTTAATTCCAAGATCCTAAAATTCAACCAATAAAGCTGCCAGTTTTAACCGAAATTTGAACTCTATTGGCTGAATTTTAGGATTTTAAAAGTGAGATAGATATACAAATTCTAGTGCAGTATAGTGTACAGAAATAAAAAACAGATCTGTAATTTGATTGAAAATAAGCCAAGTATATGTCTATTTTTCTCAGTATTATTCTTGCCTATATATTCTAACACTGTATCACCTATATTTTAGTATAACGATAAAGAACAGACCCATTAGTGATCAAATTGGTTGTCAAAGAATATTGGTTCTGTGAAGCGAGTGAGGATTGTGGGGGTGGAGGAATTGGATTTCAAATAAATATCATATTACAGCATATTACAGTTCGCCACTGGTCCACACTGATCATTCGTCCGTTGATATTGGTAGTCCATTGTGCTAAATGAATAACGCAATAGTTGGAATCTAACCTATTTTTCGTTGGATTTGTTCGATTTGCTATTTATTAATTTCGAGCAATTTCGAAAGATTAAAGGTGATTAAAGGCACACATATATATATACACATATATATATATATATATATACACACACACTATCCGGTGGAGCAACACACCAAAATCGTCCAGATTTGCTTACATTCAGAGCGCTCTCGACAATAAGAGGCTTTATTCTCGCGAGGACAAATGCCGAAGAACAAAGGCAGAAATGCTTTTTTTTTCTTCATGATCCATTGGAGGAAACGTGAGGAAGCGCAAGGCCGTACATTTCCTGATGGGTTGAAAGACGTTCAACGGGATTCGAAGTGTACTTTGGAATGGCAGGTAAAAATTTCGAACAGGAACGTCCTACAATTCCGGTAGGCTCAGTTTTTAGTATCATATACGTTTACACCGTCCGCTTAGTCCACTACCAACGATAGATATCTTTGTTTAACCTACAGGATAAACAAGAACATCTATTATTTAGGCCTAAATGCACGGTATAAATGTAGCCATTATTAAATTGGCTTTTAGCATGAAGTAAATTGTAATATATTATAGAATTAAGATTTAAACTTAATTGAGAGCTCAAAGCATTTGGCGGGAAACTGAATAAGAAGGAAACTGACTTAATATAGTTTCAGCTATCACAAATAGTATATTTATGATGAATAGATACTATTCATTTTTTTGAAATATTATATAAATATTTTATACATATTTTGTATAAACCTTTTTCAAAATATTAAAATGTAGACTGAATATTTTATGTAATATTTATAATAAATGTAAATCAATATTTCATTATATTTATAATAAATGTTTATGATTTATACAATTTAATATCACAAAAATATTTACAAATATTTTGTAAATATTTTATAAAATTGTGTTCTGTCAGAAAGATTTACTCTCTTCTATATGCAAGTATTGTATAATTATCTAATATATAAATTGGAAAAAGAAATAGACTAGAACAAAAGATGCTAATTAAGTATTTATTTTATTATTATTACTCTAATAAAAAATTATTATTAAGTGGAATTAAAATATAGAAAATATGTGAAAAGAAAAAATTTCGTTTGTCTTAAGCATTATATATATTCGGTTTATATAAGTATTATATTCGGTATTATATATACATATTAACATTATATTATTAAGAATAAATTACTATTTTTTGTTTTCTAACAAATATGATATTGTATAATTCTGAGATCTTATATTTCTGTTAAAATAAAAGATAATTTTAATAATATTAATGGAGGTACACATACAAAATATATGTTATTTTTTTTAGTAATAAATCCTTATTAACGATTGCAATATTATTGATAAGTAATATTGCAATTGTCAATATTTCTAAAAAGAAAAAAGACATTTTTTAGAGTCATGGAATTTATTACTAAAAATAGTAAAAATAGTTAAGTATTTAGAATTTATCTGCTATAAAAGATTTTGATGAAAAATTTATTTTATATACTTTTATTTAAAAATAAATTTCTTAATATTTCAGATTATTATGTTATGACAAAATTAAATGTATAAAAAATATGTTTACAATTATACATTATTGATTTACATTTTTCTTTAATTTTGTAATAAATTATATGTTCTTGTGATTAATAGACTTTAACGAAACAAGAAAAAGGTCATTTTGAAGCTATGGCCAAAAATGATAAAATTGTGTCACAAGTATCAGTCAAAGACAAGAAAACAACACTTGGAGAATCACTAAATATGCTTAAACAGAAAGAAAAGGAAGCAGAGATGTTTATAAAAAATATGCAGGAAAACATAAAAGTAATAATCGACTCAGCTGTAAATCTTAATTGTACGTATTAATGTTATATAATTTATTGTAGAATTATATGATACAATTTATTATAGAAATTAATTTGAAAATAATTTGCTGTATATTTGACATTTTTTACATTAACTTCGAAGATAACTTTTGTTTTAGAGATGTAGAAATAAAAAAATATAACCAGTACATTAAATGATATCGTAATCTATATACAGTTTAGATATTTAGCAAGTTCACATATCTTTATATGAATTAGAAATTTTAAAATTTCTCTCAGATACAAATAATAATGAGATTTAATTAATAAAAATATATAATATATATATATATAAAATAGTAGTATATAACATATATATATAAAGATATATATATATATATAACAGTTCCAAAAAATCCGTGTATCATTTATGTGATAGACAGTACATACTATACTGAGTAAAAAAACCTTAGTGAACATAAACTCAACTATTTCGGAGATATAAATATTTTTTATGTTAGTATCATGAATGATTTACTGACTCAATTTACAGAAGGTGTAATTTTTGGGTGTAAAGACGTTGCACAACAGAGATATTTCTGTTAGCATGACCATTAAAAAAATGCATATCTGCCATTTCTTGATTAGAGAAATCGCTAGAATTTTAAACATGATCTGTGTAATCATAAGCAACTACCGGTTGATAACACTTGACTGATTGCCGATGAAATCTTCTGTTACCACACACAAGTATGTATGGAAATTGAATGAGATCATACAGAATACAGTTTATAAACATTGCATATGACACATAGAAGCCAAGGTCATTTATGATGCTAACGTACAAAAATATTTATATCTCAGGAAAGGTCGAGTTTTCGACTTATTTTCATTAAAATTTTTTGCTCATTGTCAGTATGGTGTGTACTATTTCCCATATAAATGCTGAATGGTTTTTTGTAAGGAAATCTCTGTGCGTGCCTGTGTGTGTGTTTGTATGTAGCAAGTATATTAAATATATCATTAATAATATTCTTTATTATATTACAGTTTTGGCAGAACTGAAATTTTGTTTTGTACATGTTAATTGGTTTTTCTGTAAGATTGTTAACAATATTCCTGAATATTTTCCTGCCGAATATACATTTGGAGTTTTTTCACTCAAAAACGGTATAGAAGATGTACATCATACTATTGTCAGTGCTAAGATTCCATTAGGATATAGACGGGAAGCACTAGAAATAAGTCAGAACAGTCATAAAATACCTGTAGAATATGAGGGCGGTCAGATTGACTTTGCTGTTATGTATGACAGACTAGCGGATTTCCTAGAATCTAGGAAACTTGTGGATCAGTATCCTTATCTTTATACAAGACAAGCTTTCACACGAGAAGTACAATCCTTGATAACAAAACTGTGTGATGCAGCACGTAAGTGTACCTTTATAATAGAATATTTTTAATATTTTGATAATTTTATATTTAATAAGAAAGTATGATTTATTATATATAAATTACATTTTTCTTTTTTTATCTGTCAGGAATAAAATTTTTGTTTTATCCCATTTCCAGATTTTGAAAAAAAATAAATGTCACAAATTATGAGTTATTCATTCAGGTTATTCAAGTCAAAAGTTTTATCGAAAGTTTAAATTAAAATTTTTAAGGAACTCTGTATGTGATGAATCGAATATTTATACTGGAATTTAAGTGTTTAGTTTAAACATAATGAGTAAAATATCATTGGATAGGACGGATCTCTGAAAAGAAACATGTTTAATTAAAAATGTTTTTACTATCTTATTATTAACAAAAAATAATAACATTACTTATCAGTAGTGGTATTTTTTTACGAATATTAGTATTCGGTTTATTACAGAGGTTTAAAATTTTTATTTAAATATCCGATAACTTTTAATGTCTGGACAAATAGATAACTCATAATCCGTGGCATTTTCCTATTTTTATCATAAACTATAAGTTAATGGTAAACTGATATAAAACAAGTTTAAGCGAAAATTGTTTTTAAAAGGCATGTCACTGTTAGATAGCTCAGATAAGCTTTAGTAGTAAAATGTTTCCTAAACTTCTAAACATTATCCATTTTAGAGAATAAAGGTACAGGTTAATACATTTTGTATAATAACTTATCTTCAGAACATGCTTAATATATCGATATCAGCGCGCATTTAGCATTACGTATTTAGCAATTTATGTTATATTATAGAATTTAAATAATAATTCCATGCATTTTTATCAATAAAAGCATGTTCCGATATATACATATATATACATATATACACACCTTTTTACAATGAATAGAAGCTTACTTTTCAGATGTGCTTTATATCAATATATGTTATTTAAGTAAATAAATTTCTATTTCAGAAGAAGATAAAGAACAATTTAAAATTTATGAATTGGAATCATTGTTCACACATTTGGCAAATGAATTATTCAAGAAAAGAGAAGATCGAGATATGGATACAATTCCTGTTTATGCTCATAAAATATTTGAAAATTACACGTACCGATTTGATAAAGGATCTGAATGTCATGTGAGAATAGTTTTATTACTTTATGATACTATAAAGTGTATTTTATTTATAATATAATTTTGTAATACTTAGTTTCATAAATACGTTGATGGAGGATCTGAATACTGTAGTAAATCTGTGCTGCAACAATGGGCATGGACACTATGCGATGAGTTTTGTGCACCACTTGATATCAAGATACAACCAGGAGTACATCAGCCTGACAGATCTGAGCTTGATCAATTCGATAACCAACACTTGATGTCGATGATGAGTAATTTGCAAGTCAAAGATGTTCACCAATCTAAATCTGATATTGATGGAGTTTTATCTATGACAGGCGTAAGTGTGCATAATACCCTAAAAATATACTACTGTAGAGATTTATGCATGAACAAGCACATTATACATACCTGTTTAAGTTTTATAAAATTTATATAATTATATATATATGTACACATATAGTAAACGATTTTTATTATTTTATAATAGGTAAGTGAGCAACATAGATTAAAAGTATCCGGTAGAACATATGAACAAGAAATGCGTCGTCGACAAGAATCAAAACCAATACAAGTTATTGATTGTAGCAAATTTCAAGATTCTGCATCTAATGATGCATCTTGTTCTAATAACTTTATTGACAAATGGGCATCTAAGAAGCCCATTGGAGAAAAAGCTGAATATGTATGTTTTCTTATATAATTTTTACATTAATTGAAAAATATTTTATCTATTTCATATTTTTTTAGTTGAATGAAAAACCAATGCGACCTCCAAATATTGATCGTAAGTTTAGAAAACTCTTTATTTATTAATGATGAATGAATATTTTACATCATTTGTCTATTTTTATTGATAAAATAATTCTATTACATGAAATACTATAAAAATTTCACATTATATTATATATATATATATATAAACCTCTGTCGAAGATTTTCTTCCAACGGATGTAGAGAACTTTCCTCCTATTGGTAAGTTAACATATAATGTAACTATACAGTTTTATATAATAATTTTTATACAGGATATTCATTTGAAAACTTTCCAGCTGATTATCTCAAAAAATATAAAAGATACAAAAAAACGTTAAAACACGTATTCCATGATTTCGAGGGGGAAAGAGAATGGCACTCTCAATTTTTTATTTGGGTGGCGTTTTCAACGTCATTCGAAGGTCAAATTAATTGTTTTAAATAGAAATGTATATTTTTTATTACAGGATCTTATTCTACCTAAAAAACCATGTAACTTCTGTAGGAAACATTTTTTTGTTCGATCACTATTTTGGAGATAATTAAGAAAATAGTAAGGCATAGTCCAAAAATTTCCTCATTTATTATAACAAATGTTTAAAATGTTCTCCGTTGTTTGCTAAACAATAATAAAGGCGATTCTGGAATTCTGAACGAACATTTTGGAAAGTATTTGCTGGAATAGCTCTACATTCCTGTAAAATTCTTTGACGTAAATCATTGATATTTTCCGGTGGAGTTTTATAAACAACGGATTTTAAGTGTCCCCATAAGAAAAAATTAAGTGGAGTTAGATCAGGAGATCTTGGTGGCCATTCGATGGCTCCTCTTCTACCAATCCATCTCTATGGAAGTCAATTGTTTAGCCACTGTCGAATTGGTAACACATAATGTGGGGGAGCACCATCTTTTTGGAAGCACAAAAGTTCCTTATTTAACAACAATTCGCCATTTTCATCTTTTTGATTTTCAAGACCTTCAGTTATAAGTGCATCAATAACGTTGTCTAATAAATTTAAATAAAGATTGCCATTCAGTTCGACTCAAAAACTCCACCGGAAAATATCAACGATTTACGTCAAAAAATTGTACAGGAATGTAGAGCTATTCCAGCAAATACTTTCCAAATGTTCATTCAGAGATCCAGAATCGCCTTTATTATTGTTTAGCAAACAACGGAGAACATTTTGAACATTTGTTATAATAAATGATGAAATTTTTGGAAGTAACTATGCCTTGCTATTTTCTTAATTATCTCCAAAATAGTGATCGAACAAAAAAATGTTTTTTACAGAAGTTACTTGTTTTTTTACGTAGAATAAGATCCTGTAATAAAAAATATACATTTCCATTTAAAAAAATTAATTTGACCTTCAAATAACGTTGAAAACGCCACCCAAATAAAAAATTGAGAGTGCCATTCTTTTTCCCCCTCGAAATCATGGAATACGTGTTTTAATGTTTTTTAGTATCTTTTATATTTTTCGAGATAATCAGCTGGAAAGTTTTCAAATGAACCTGTATAATGTAAGTATATAGTTTTATACATTATAATTGAATGTATAATTTTTTCATTGCAATAATTACATGCGAATGATTAAATTAACACCTGTGTAGGAGGAAGAGGCGTGTCGAACAGATCTCGTACTTACCAAACAAGAAAAATGCCTTTAGGCAAAGGTAATATTTTATATAAACTTGGAGAAAAAAGTACCCTTTTCTCTCCAAGTTTATATTTGATTTATACAGGAGTTTTTGTTATTTAAAATTATTATACGTTGTAATATTTTATTACCATAAATTTATTACATGTTACAGTAAATTATCTTATCTATATAAGTATTTTTTGTGTGAATTTTAATTTTTTTATAGGGAAAGGACACACATAAGCATATTTTTGGACAATTAAGAAGTCATAATGCGGCATCTAGGGTATATAGAGTAAGCCATAAGCAGTAAGAAATTGACCAATCATAATCGATCATTTTCCTTATATTTGACTATGCTTGGTCAATTTCTTACAGGTTGTTCTGCATATTATAGAGAACACTTAACAGATTTGATACGACATTTGATGAGCATACATAAATATGTCATTATATAGATACATATAATAGTCATTTATTTTACGATGAATATTATATCAAAGTGATTTTACTTTTATTCGACAGAAGAATTTACATAATTTTTCTATTTATGTCAAACGTTTGTTTAAAACTAATGAGAAAAATTTTCAGCATATATTCTGTTTAATGAGTTTATATTCATATAAAAAGCAAGAAAACGATTGTGAAACATCATGTTTTATAATAATACATTTGCAATAAATTTTTTTATTTCATTTTTCTAATTATTTTTTCTAAACCATGATATTTATTTAATAATTAATAACTTTATTTTATTAATAAAATGCAATATTTATTGAGAAGAAGTACAATCTAAGACATTTAAAACAAAAAATAATCTAAGGAACAATGTAGCCACAACGCTGGATGTCAGTAGTGAACGTTATATATTTAAAAAACTTTTATGTCAAAATAGTATAAAATAATAAAATATCTAAAATATATATTATAATCTAAGTTACATCTAACACAGAGTGAAAAAAATTAAATTACTTTTACAAAAACAAATTTTAATATTTTCTTGACTTATTTTTAAAAATATATTTTTAGTAAAATTTAGAATATTAAATATTATGAGATTATTATTATATAGATATA